ATTTAACTTTTAACTTGTTAATTATTTTTTTTATTAACTTAACTTTTAATCAATTAATTTCATTATGGATATTAACTTATATCTTAACTAAATAAAATTTTTAAGACCTTTAACTGTAACTTAACTTAAATAAAAAAAAAATTTAACTTACCCAACCTTGATTTTCAAGGATAACGGGTTGTTCTGAATCACCCTGTATAGATGGATATATATTTTTAATAATATTTTATATATATTTTACATATATTTTACATATATACATATATACACATTCCATCTTTCGTTCTGTGTATGTACGTAGATAAATTTAGTTAACATTTTTATGAGAAATACACAAAAACTTCAAACAGTTTGTCTTTTAGTTATTTAGACGATTAAGTTCGGAATCAATGACCGAAACGGTTGAGAATCAATTGTTGATCATGAAACCACATTTGATGAAGATCAACAAGTATCGCAATTCCGCGGACTCGAAGCAAAACGCTGTCAAATCCGCGGACGGCAAATTGGAACTAAGTCCGATAAAAGACAGAATAAGACATCATGTCGTCGTATTGTATCCCGATACTAAGGGAGACTTAGCCCTGCTACCTTTCAAAAGATTAGATCGAAGAACATCGGAAACCGTGGGCACGTACGCGACAATGAATCAAGAATGGCGCGCGATGTTTGCGGCTCAAGACAACGTTCAGGTATTAAAACAGTCCGATGTTATGATAAAAAAAATTTCACTTTTTCCGCAGTTTGTGTTAATTTATAATAAATTAATTATGTTACATGTATATATATATATACATTGTGATAGCATGCTATCGTTAAAATGTCGGATATGACCGGAAGCAGTAACAGCCCTAGTCAAAGTATACACAGCGGGGACATTCATTTATCTCCTCATCATTGCCTGTCAGATGTGACTAGTATAAATTCTTTTATGAATGACCACTCGCTTCACGAACGGTCTTATATACAATGTAAGCAAAAGATTGTAAGATATAAAAATAATGTTTAACCCATTTGCATCACAAAGAGAAAAGTCAAAAATTCGTTCTTATCACCAAAATTTTTTTTTTACTGTATTTAAATTTTAATGAAAATGTTTACAAAATATGAAAAATAAAATCAATATTGCATAAATAAAGAAGTTTGGTATTTTTCTGTTATAAATAATATGCGCTTTGGTGATAAATGCCAAAAGTAAAATGCGCGCATATATGCGCTTATGATGCAAATGGGTTAATTAATTTTTGAGATTTTTTTTTTATATAAATAAAATTTCTGTAAAATTTATCAATTAAAAATCATTTGGTTGGTTTTTTGCAGATAGATGCGCGCCATGCCGATTAGAGGTGCGGCATTTAACGTGTCGAAAGCAAGAGCAACACGCGGCGATATTAAGGGCAAAGCGTTGGGCCAACAATATCGTCTGCGAAACCGGTAAGTAAAATTGAGAATTTTGGCGAGAATATTTGCACAAAAAGTTTTGCTTAATCACAGGACATTATCGTGATATATATAGTTTACTCATTATTGATGTTGACTAAAAAGGCTCCGCGTCACTACCGAAGGATTGGAGACCTCGGGGAATTCCGGTCGCGCATCTTCACGAACATAGAGCCGCGGTGAACAGATTGGTTTCCATACCAGATACCAGCCTATTTGCGAGCAGTTCGTCCGACGGGTGCATTAAAATTTGGGACGCCAGCAAGATGGAAGGACGAAATATCGCCAATCGATCTAGGTATACTTTTATTTCTGGATAATTGCGTAAAAAAAAAAAACTACAAACTTTTATGTAAAGAATGAGTATATAGCTTCAAGAATTTATATAATAAACAAAGGTATTCTCTGGCTGTAGAAGCAAACACTGTTGTTGGTGTGTGAATATTTAAATCAGTTTATTGAAACTTAGTTGCATTAACGCTTTCGACCTTGTATTAGATCCTTCTCAAAAGCATTTAAGATACTAAGAATGAAGAGGCTAATATGAGCCATCTAAGATTAAATAGGCCAATACGAGCCATTCCCAGGTTGTTGTGCAGGAATAAGCGTGCATGTATATATATATATATATATACACATGTATGAAATTCACATGTAAATTATTTTTACATGTGAGTTTTTTGAATTGAAATTTCAATTCATAAAATCATATAGGATGCTAGATTTGCATCTCGTATATGAAAGATCCCAAATACCCCCCTAACTAATTTAAAAATATTGCGAAAAAAACTCCTCGGCCAGGAGTCGAACCTGGAATCTCCGGCTTTCCGTGCCATTTAAGATACTTTAGTAATGTACGTCGCACAGTGCTGTCAAGAATGTTCATAATATTTAAAAGCTCGTGAAAGTTTCAATGAAAATGTAAGGCCGATACGAGCCGTTCACAGGATGTTGAGCGGAACTTGTACGTGTATACATATATATGTATAAACTCCTGGCCGAGGAGTTTTTTTTCGCAATATTTTAAAAATTAGTTAGGGGGGTATTCGGGGTCTTTCATATGTGAGATGCAAATCCCGCATCCCATATGAATTTAAGAATTGAATTTTCAATTCAAAAAACTCACTTGTAAAAATTTACAAGTGAACTTGTCATAGGTGTATACATATATATGTATACACGTACAAGTTCCGCTCAACATCCTGTGAACGGCTCGTATCGGCCTTACATTTTCATTGAAGAATGTTCATGTCGCACAAGCAGACCCGACCAACACTTTACAAATGGAAAAATGCGACTCAGTCAATGCAACTAAGTTTCAATAAACTGATTTAAATATTCACACACCAACAACAGTGTTTGCTTCTACAGCCAGAATAGCTTTGTTTATTACAAACTTTTAATTTTCACATTATTATCACGTATATATATACATCGTCAATTTTCATTGTTTCATTTTGCGTTTGTCAACACAGACAAACATATTTGCACAGAGGAGGTCCGTTGGTTGGTTTAACCGTGTGCGATCAAGGACAATCCTTAGCCAGTTCAGCGAGCGAATCCGGAACGGTGTTTATACTTCGAATCGAGCCGAACTCCAGTAAAATGAGTTTGCTCGGCACTCGTCAATTGGATCTGGAGGTGACAACCAGATTGATTTTATAATAACGCAACAATAATAATTTATAATAAAAAAAATTTCAAATAAATGTGTTACGATTATTAAATAAATCAACAGGAAGAAGGATATGTCGTCGATCTCCATTATTTAGATTCCGGTTCGCAGTCGGTTCTCGTATACGCCTCCTTGTACGGATACTTGGTAGGTTGGGACTTGCGTTGTCCTGGGATAACATGGCGTTTGGAAAATGACGTGAAACACGGAGTTATCACATCGTTCTGTGTAAACAGTCAACAACAGTGGTTGACTCTTGGCACGAGCTCGGGTATTCACACATGTTGGGATTTGAGATTTCAATTGCCAATAACAAATATCAAGCATCCAGCAGGTAGATTGTCGCGTTTAAAATATTTATATAATAATTATTTAAATAACATGTATACAGGGTGTCCCAGAATTGCCGTACAATCTCTCGTATAGGCAGATAGAAGGAACAAAACTGAGTCGAAAAGTCCTGAACTATTTTTTTCTATTGTTTATAACAAAGGAGTAATTATTGAGTAAATCAGGCCAATCAGCGCCGACCTTTAGCCAGGCGCACGTCAGTGAACTGCGCGGAGTGCTCACACACACACCAGGCGCGTGGCTCCGCGCTGATTGGCCTGATTTACTCAATAATTACTCTTTTATTATAAATAATAGAAAAAAAATGATTCAGAACTTTTCGACTCAGTTTTATTCCCTCTACCTGCCTACGAGAGATTGTACGGCAATTCTGGGACACCCTGTATGTATTATTATTTAATCACAAAGTTTCTCTAACTAATTATTGTTGTTATTTCTGTCATAGGTGCCAGAGTGCGAAAAGTGATCGCTCATCCGATAGAAAATTCCTGGATAATCTCGTCAGTTCAGGGTAACAACGAAATTTCTATGTGGAATCTGGAGACGGACCATCGGCAATTGGTGCTGTGGGCGTCAAATGCTCCGCCGTTAAGCCGTACTCAGGGTGGTCACAGCGTATGCGCAATGTATGCCGGATGTGTCGATTGTTCGGGCTTTCTTCTGGCCGGCGGGACCGATATGAGATTACGGTTCTGGGATTTAAGCGGGCCTACCGCGTCTTATGTCGCTCTTCCCGCCGCTAACGATATCCTCACGCCGAATTCGTTAGCATACGAGTAAATAATTTATTATCATTCAAAGTTATAATCACATTTTGTGTGTTCATAGTTTTTTTTTTTTATATCGTTACGATGACGTTAAAATGTCGCTTTTCTGTCTCTGCAGTTTACGTTTGATAGATGGCACAAACGTTGTGCAGGAAATGTCGGTGGACGACGGTTCTAATCCGTCCGGAAGTGACGTGAGAGGAAGAAATTTGGAAGAAAGCGGACCCGAAACTCCGCCTTCCGGCCAACATGACACAATCTCCGCCGTGGCCATGTCGAACATGTGTATTCTTACCGGCAGTACGGACGGTCTCATACAAGTTTGGAAATGATTGTTTTTCTCTCTTTCAAACATTTTATTTCTAAGTTTCTCGCTGCGAGAGATTTTGGTAGTTCAGTATCAAATTTTGTTCTCCGTAAAAATCCAATTTTTAGAAAGATTGTTGTGAAAAATATCTCCTCGATCACAAGTGTTTGCATCCGGATCATCCGGATCTCTTTTATAAGCGAAGGTTCTTTATCGATTCGACTACCGAAAACCACATTTGGAAATATATTTGTCGCAACAATCTATTTGAAATCAACAACTCAAAGACTGTCGATTCGCCAACAGATCCATACGTAGGCAAGAATCCAATATATATAATCCGGTTGAATTAAAAATTTGCTCTGGTAGCTGTGTTGGTTTTCTCCGTTTCATCCGCTTTATGAAACTCGTGAGATCTAAGTGAGAAATATGTATTTTAGAATTGGTCCATGCAATATACAAATTGTCTCGACAACAATTGTACGTTGTCACGGACACAAGTTTAGAATAGTTTATTTAGAAATAGATAAGACAATTGTGATAGCGGCGTAAATAGCCGCGAAATTTTGTTCTATAGTAAGATTATTTAAAAATTATTCTTATTTCGTTAACAACTCCGTGATTATCGGAATTAATATCGAGATTCATGAAAAGTTTACGCGTTATATAATATCAAAAAATTCATTCCACTATTTAGTTTAACTCCGCAAATCAAAAAAATTGATCTATTCAAAGATTTTTATAACATATTATCTCGGAATTTCAACTTGTAATGTAGATACATTTATTATATATAGATAAAAGAAAGAGGGAGGCATATAATTTAAAAATATAAAAAGTCTTAGAAAATTCAGGTATATTTGTATTTCTACGTACATTTGTATTGTTTCAATTTACTTGTGGGTAATGTTAGGGATTGCTCTTATACTAATTTCTCAAATCATTAACATCGACGATATGCGCAACATCGCTGTGCTATACTAACTCTGTGATTTTGGATTGTATATACATATGTGTGCGTATGCATGTATATATAGACGTGCGTGTGTGTATATAAACCGTGTAACATATATATATGATATTTAAAGACTACCGGTAATTTTACGGATTTTGCTGTAGAGATGCGCGCATTTCTTAAAAAAAAAAAAAAAAAAAAAACCAAACGTACACTCGTTATTACACAAAAAAGAGTGTGTATAATTTATTTTTGTACGTAAGAGACATGTATGTAAGAGAAAGAGAGAAAGAGAGAGAGAGAGAACGTTAATTTGTCATATTGCAGGCAAATGTAAACAGATTTAGAATTTTGCATAAATATGATTCGCGTGCGAAAACTATGATACGCAGGTAATTATTATTTCTTTGCTTCGTATACTTTATATATGATGAATGTGTGCGGTAAGTGACTATATATATATATGTAGTCTGTCGCGAATATTTATATATATACCATAGTTGCGTGATAGAGAGTACTGTTTCACTGTGTAACACACACATTGTACATTCACACACACACACCGACTGAAATACTCGTAATCAGTGGACGTATATTGTCAGAAGCTACATTGTTACAATAAATTCATATTTTTAACGATTAATATATACGCGCTGTGTTTGAATTTGGCGCAATTAAGTAAGTTCGACGGAAAATTTTTTTTTTACCACGGACAGATAGGCGCAGCGGGATATGGAACGCGTCCTGGAAACGCGTACGGATCGGGATTTATCGTCCTACAGATCTGCTTCCAACGTTCCTTGCCGCCTCTGCCTTGACGGTATCGTCGATACGAACCGTTCTCCTTGTTTGCATAATATCCGGTGTCTCGACTGTCGTATGAGGATTGCTGGGGAAACCACAAATCGAGCCAGGGTGCGCAAAAAACAGAACTGACCAAGAACAACAGGAAGAATATTAGCTTCATTTTAATTGCATCTTCTGGAAACGATGAGTTCTGTAACAATTTTTTTTTTTGCGCGCAGATCTGAAAGGAAAAGAAAGAGATTGTTTCTCACTCTTGTAAGTATGCTTTATAATCGTTGTTTGCGCGAAAATTTATTTGTTTTTAGTAATGTAAATATTTTATATGCGAAGAATCATTTAATTATCAAAGTTTAAAAAAAAATTGTCATAAAAAAAACGACAAATAAATTTCTTGCAATTAGTCCGTTCTTGTATATTTGCGGTAGAAAAGAGAAGGATACTGAATATAAAAGATTTTATATATAAATTATGTAAATTATATAATTATATAAATTTATATAATTTATATAAATTATATAAATTATATAAATTGTATAAATCATATATAAATTATATAAATTATATAAATAAAATAAATAATTATATGTACAAATGAAAAAAATGAGAATTTTGTCAATTGCAGTTGCGCAAAACGTTGCGCTAATTTTACTGCAATTGTTTGCAACAATCTTAGTACCATATACAGCAATGTGTCTAAAGTAGATGAAACAATGCCCGTTCACGCACCAAAAGATCATGTAATGAAAATGTCACAGACTTGATGTTTTCTTATCGCGACTTTCAAATTTCACACTTTCTGAATCGCAGGACTGACGACGACGACGCTTTCCTGGATATTCCGGATGTTGTCTCACCAATCAACACAGTCAACTAGGTATATAAAAAATAACTAAAGAGATCGTGAATATAGATGATAGTTGTACAACAATTCGGATGTTATCGGTTTCTACCTAATTGCAGCGAGTACACTACAGCAGTGAAGAGATGCTGGATGCTTTACGCTGTTTTATATACCGCCAGCCTGTCGCCCTACCGTTCAGAAAAATATCCGGTTAAGTGCTGAATCCGCATCGCTCTTTTATGTACGAAGGATTTTCTCGCGCAAGCGACGTTGATCGATTCTCCAATAAAAATATGTAGTCATTAGTAGTTTTACGTGTACTCGCGAGATCTGTTTTATAATTTTGCATTACATATTCTCTGGAATCTCTGATTAAACGAATCTATTAACTATATGCTTAAAATATCGCACAGAATATACATTCTAAAGTCTTTATTCATAGTCAAAGAGAATTTATATGTGCGGTGTGAGCTTCGTTCTCTTCGCGACTATTTCCTCAATTTAGAATTCTGCACGTGCTAACAAAATGACGCACGTGATTTATGCGATTTTGAACTTGGGGAAGGCCCTCGTCTTCCATTGTCTCGGCCATTTATATCTCTATGTCGATTTGCATGCGACGTTCGTAACGTTTATTCACTCTTGCTCGTATAAATTCCACGTGCGCAGAAATATCGTTCGCGGAGAAGCACGAGATGCTTGTTCTATTACATTTATTTATACTCAAGTTTGGCAAGCTGCTTCTATACTTTATTATATAGTGACATTTTTACGTAATGTATGAACATGAAGAAAAAAAAAGGAATAAAACAATTTCTGACTAACCAGTTAGAAAAATATAATAATAATAATAATATATAATATATAATATATAATAATATATATAATATATTAATATATAATATATAATATATAATATATAATTTTTTACACGGTAAAAAATTTTTCATGTATAAAATTGTATGGACATACACGGAAAAAAAAAGTTTTGCTATTATATGGTTAAGCAAGAAAAATGGTTGACTCTACGAAATTTTTTGTTTCATCAACAAAATGTTTTGTTGGCAAAACAAAAATTTTGATAAACTTAACAAATGTTTTTTTTTGCTGGCCATATAGTAAATAATTTCTTGCTATTCTAGCAAATCTTTTTTTTTCCGTGTGTATAAATTTGCATAATTAGATATAATAATTTTAATTTGTGTACAAGTATATATGATTATATATCAAAAATTTTTTTAAAATATAGTAAAAATATAGTTTTATACAATTTTTTTTGTATCTAACATGATAATAATAGAGTTATTTTGTAATTTGATATGGAATATCTCTGAAGCCATTCTTTTAAAAAAAGAAATTCTCCGTGTATAAAATTGTATGGACTTATTCGGCATATAAATTTGCACAATTAGATATAATTATTTTAATTTGTGTACAAGTATATATAAAAAATTTTTTACCGGGAAGATGCTTATTCTATTACATTTATTCGCTCAAGTTTGGCAAGCTGCTTCTATACTTTATTATTTATATAATGACATTTTTACGTAATGTATGAACATGAAGAAAAAAAAAAGAAATAAAACAATTTCTGACTAACCCGGTAAAAAATTTTCCATGTATAAAATTGTATGGACATATTCGGCACACACATATAAATTTGCATAATTAGATATAATAATTTTAATTTGTGTACAAGTATATATGATTATATATCAAAAAATTTTTAAAATAATAGTAAAAATATAGTTTTATATAATTTTTTGTATCTAACATGATATTAACAGAGTTATTTTGTAATTTGATATGGAATATCTCTGAAGCCGTTCTTTTAAAAAAAAGAAATTCTTCGTGTATAAAATTGTATGGACATATTCGGCATATAAATTTGGATAATTAGATACAATAATTCTAATTTGTGTATAAGTATATATGAAAAATTTTTTACTGGGAACCAGTTAGAAAAATATACTATAAGTAATACGCGCGCTCGAAAGAAAACATACGGCTATAATTGTACATATGCGATTAGATTAGCATTCGGTGTTTGATTTATAAATCGCACTTTCGGTCATGTGTATATGCTCGCGAATCCGGTATTTTACCTATTCAAAATAATCGCGCGTGCGATATAATCGCCGCCGGTATGAAATGTTGCGTGCATTCGATCACATAAGATGCAGGAGAATTTTTGCAGCGTGCCTTTCCTTGCAAACAAAAAAATTACAATTATAATACGCACAAGTTTCGATCTGCGTGCGCAATTTCCACTCGCGCGTATTTTATCTCTTTCACGCTGCCAGCACGCTTGACTGGAAGTTGCTCCAGATCTGAATATTTCGTGTCAAGGATATGCCACATTGCGCTGATACCGAAAACATCGAACGAATTATCTTGTTCGCGAACTTGACATACTTTCGACACGCAAATTCAATGTGACATATCTTTGATCTTTGATCTTTGTTCAGTTTGACCAAATGTGTAATTCGTTTATACATATGTGTCATTTTTATTAGTATATGATCTCGCACTACTTCCAATTTTATTTTTGATTATGTAAATTTCTAAATACAAGAAAAAAGTTTCTAAATTATATACATATAAATTTAAAAGGATTTGTAAAAAATAGTATAAATGTTAATTTATTTTTAATGATAATATGACTTTTTTGTTTTCTTCAGTAAATATCCCAGATAGCCAAATGTGAAAACTCAATATAAAGCAAATCATTGTATAGATTAAGTTGCTCGCCTTAATTGCTGTTGTGTTGTTTTTATTTAACGCAACGAAAATGTTTTTGTCAATTCGGTATCAATGTGCTGAGTTTTATTATCAATCAATTGTTGTAGCCAATGTTTATGACATGTGAGTCAGCAATATGTAAGCAATATGTGAGCAATAATTTTTATTCATAAGTTGAGAAAAATAATATAAGTTTATTGGCGATGAGTTGTTGAGAACTTGCTGTTATTATATTTTGAAAACTGTTGCTGGCGAGAACATACCGAAAAGAGGATACACCCTTTTGTTACATTGCTGAAAACATCCCGGTAAAAAATTTTCCATGTATAAAATTGTATGGACATATTCGGTATATATATATATATAAATTTGCATAATTAGATATAATAAGTTTAATTTGTGTATAAGTATATATGATTATATATCAAAAATTTTTTAAAATATAGTAAAAATATAGTTT